CCCCAAAACCCCAAAACCCCAAAACCCCAAAACCCCTGAAAAATAATAAATATTAAAAATGGTTCGCTTGAATACTTCTATTGAGACTGCACTATCAGAAGAGAAAAACAAGAATATGTGCAGGTTGATCATTAAAATACTTAAAAAGAAGAGATTTACCTATGTTATGATCGCCACATCAATCCTTTTCTTTGTGATCTCAGGGATCCAGTTTTGGGCATCAGACTATATGCGATTAGTTTTAGAAATCCCTGAAGAAATTGTTATCCCGGCTTTCTCAATAATCACTCTGACAGGACCTACAGTAGGATGAATTGTAGGGGGAGGACTTACCCACTTAATTGGAGGATATGAGCATCCTAATGCCTTAAAGTTGATACTATATGTTGGGTTTATAGGAACAATCATATCTCTTCCAATCCCTTTCGTAGATCATACCCCAACCTTCTTAATCTTATTTTGGTTATCACTCTTTGCAGGGGGATTCATCATGCCAGGAACTACAGGAATTATGATAAATGCTGCTCCTAAAAAGCATAAAGCGCTAGCTAATTCAATTGCTTATGTGTCATACAACCTGCTTGGCTACGTGCCTGGTCCACTTGTGTATGGAGTCTTGACTCATTTCTACGGTGATAGAAGTAAAATCGGCATGATTGCACTCATCTGGGCTCTCATTTTCTGAATATTTTTCATATTTCTTGCTTACAAAAATACCCCAATTGTTGAAGAAATCATTAAGGAAAGAGGATTTATTCCAACCAAGGAGTACAAAGAATCTGACTCAGAGTCAGAGTTTGAAGAACGAAGACAAACCAATAGAAGAGTTAACAGAGATTTACGGGTTTCCTTCAACCCATTCGATTACTCAATGAGAGGGTTTGACAAAATGGAGGAATCTTTTAGAGAAAGCTTGATTACTCCAATGAACGCAGACAGCCCTAACAGAGGTAGCAGTACCAATCCTAATAGATTTGGATCACTGAGAAAGAATTCATTGCTCGCTCCTACAAGGTTAACCAAAAGAGTCTCCGAGTCGAGACAACCTGTACAAGGTGTCACTAGAAAGAAGAAGAGCAGAGCAGTCAGTCTCTTTGATAATAACATCATGAGCATGGGTATTGGTGGCCAGCCTAATGCTAACCTTTTCCAGTTTGAAGAAAGACATGCCAAGCGAACCATGAAGCAAAAGCCTAAAGATAGACGGACTTACTCAATTTACGAATAATTTCAGCTTTTGCTTTAAAATCAGGGGTTTTGGGGTTTTGGGGTTTTGGGGTTTTGGGG